CCCAGACTCTAGGGTTCTTTCCCCCCCCCCGGGGAGCCGCCAACCCTGGCTCATCAATTCACACCCACGCCCCACCCCGGGGGGGAGCCGCCAACCCTGGCTCATCAATTCACACCCAGGCCCCCCCCCAGGGGGGGGGCAGTAGAAATCCTCCCCCCTCCCTGCCAGACTAGAGCAGGCAGGGCAGGCAGGGGAGGGGGCTGGACCCCTCACATGTTAGCAGGGCAGGCACTAACCCCCCCCATGAGACAGACAGGAACTGGGAGGCAATAGGAACTCCTAAGGGAGTACCCCGGCCCCCCCACGCCCCCCACATTCCCAGCAGCACGGCAGGGGCTAATTACAATTGTTAACTCATTAGATACGAAGCAGGAGAGATTCCCCCACTGGGCCCCCCCCGCCGGACCCCCCCCAGAGGCACAGCCTGGGGGGGTTTAGGAGTCACAGCCACATTGCGAAGCAGTTATACAGCACGATGGCAGGGCTGGCCCCCTCGGGCGGGGCCCCCCAGCCCCCCAAATCAGAGTCCGAGGGGCGCTCCGGGCGCAGGGGCCAGGTCAAAACCTTCTCAGAGGGAGGCAGGTCTAGGCTGGAGCGTGACGGACCTGGGGGGGGTAAGAGAGAGGCAGTGAGACCCCCGAGCCAGCCAGCCCCCGGGGCCGATGGGAGCTGGCGTCCCCTGGAGGGGAACGGCCCCGTGTCCCAGCCCCGAGCCAGCCAGTCCCCCCCCGCCCCGGGGCCGATGGGAGCTGGCGCCCCCTGGAGGGGAACGGCCCCGTGTCCCAGCCTCGAGCCAGCCAGTCCCCCCAGGGGCTGATGGGAGCTGGCGCCCCCTGGAGAACAGCCCCATGTCCTGGCCCCCTGGGGCGGAAGGAGGTACTGACCAGCGCTCACGGCCCCTGGTAGCCCGGCTGGAACCGCGCTGTCTCCTCGAAGATCAGCTCCTTCAGCTTCTCTTTGGGCAGGTCGTCCAGCTCCATGTCAAAAGTGAAGGGCTCTTCGGCCACCGGCTGCACAGAGCGCAGGGGACAGTGAGTTTCTAGCCCCCCACTCCCCTCCCTGCGCCACAGAGAACCCAGGAGTCCTGGCTCCTAGCCCCCCACTCCCCTCCCAGAGCCAGGCAGAGAACCCAGGAGTCCTGGCTCCCAGCCCACTCCCCTCCGTGTGCCACAGAGAGAACCCAGGAGTCCTGGCTCCCAGCCCCCACTCCCCTCCGTGTGCCACAGAGAGAACCCAGGAGTCCTGGCTCCCAGCCCCCACTCCCCTCCGTGTGCCACAGAGAGAACCCAGGAGTCCTGGCTCCCAGCCCCCACTCCCCTCCCAGAGCCTGGCAGAGAACCCAGGAGTTCTGGCTCCCAGCCCCCGCTCCCCTCCCAGAGCCTGGCAGAGAACCCAGGAGTTCTGGCTCCCAGCCCCCACTCCCCTCCCAGAGCCTGGCAGAGAACCCAGGAGTTCTGGCTCCCAGCCCCCCTGCTCTAACCCACCAGAGCCCATTCCAGAGCCCATTCCCCCCAGCTCTGGGGAGGGGACCCAGGCGTCCGGGGACCCCCACCTCGTCCGAGGGGTCGTAGTACTGCTCCAGGTAGGGGTGAGCCAGCGACTCCTCCACAGTGATGCGCTTGTTGGGGTTAAAGGTCAACATCTTGTCCAGCAGGTCGAGGGCTGCGGGAGGGATGAGAGGAGGGGCAGTGAGGGGGCAGCCTCCGGGGGGCTCCCAGGAGGTGGGATCCGAGGGAGACCCAGGGCACGGCAGGGGACCCCCAGAGCCAGATCCTCACCTTTGGGGTCGGCCTTGGGGAACAGCTTGGGCCAGGGCACCTTGGCCTTCTGGGGCAGCGACTGCAGGTAATTCCGCGCCTTCATGTTGATGATGCAGTTTAGGTCATCCTGCGAGGGGGACCCCAGGATCCCTGCACAGGGAGAGGAGTCAGGATGGAGAGGGGAGGGGCTAGCCTAGGCCCCGCCCTGATACCGCACAGCCCGAGGCCCCTCCTTTCCGGAGACAGCCTTGCCCCATAGCTCCGTCATCCAGATATTCCTCCCCCTCCACGGCAGCCCCACCTGCCACTCTGTGTCCTCTAGTAGCCCCGCCTCCCAGGCCCAAGATGCCCCACTCCCTCACCGAGGATGTGGTTGAGCTGGTCCAGGTAGTGCTTGCCGGGGAAGATGGGCCGGTTGGAGAGCATCTCCGCCAGGATGCAGCCCACCGACCAGATGTCGATGGATTTGGTGTAGCCCTGGGGACAGATGGACAGCGGGTCAGAGGGGGCGGGGACAGGGAGCCCCATGCTCTTACCCCGCCCACCCAACCCCGCTGTGGCTGCAGGTTTGCCATCCTGGAGAAACAGGCCAGAAAAGGAAATTCCTGGCAAATCAACTGAGCTCTGGTTCCCCTGACACTACCCGCTGCTGCCAGGGTAGAGCCCAGGCGTCCTGGCTTCCAGCCGACCCCCCCAACTCAACCTACTAGATTCCCCCCTCCTCCCCGAGCTGGGGGCAGAACCCAGGCGTCCTGGCTCCCTGAGCCAGGCTTCCAGCCCCTCACCTTGGAGTTGAGCATGATCTCGGGGGCGCGGTACCAGCGGGTGGCCACGTACTCTGTCAGGAAGCCGGTGTGGTCGTGCTCCGGGTCGGCAATGCGGGCCAGACCAAAGTCACAGATCTGGGGAGGGAAGGGAGGATTAGACCAGGCTGCCCCCCTCCCCACCCAAACACAAAGCTCGAGGGGGGAGGGGCTGGAGAGGTGGGGGACAGACTTGCACGCTGGGCAGAGCCCAGGGGTGGCTGGGCTGAGGAGCTGGCAGGGGTGGAAGAGTCCGGTCCCAGGGGCAGGGACGGGGGGATGTGGGGCTGGGCTGAGGGGGGTGGCAGAGTCCGGTCCCAGGGGCAGGGACGGGGGGATGTGGGGCTGGGCTGGGAGCTGGCGGGGGCGGCAGAGCCATGGGGCAGGGATGGGGGGATGTGGGGTGGGCTGGGGGCTGGCGGGGGCGGCAGAGCCATGGGGCAGGGACGGGGGATGTGGGGTGGGCTGGCGGGGGCGGCAGAGCCATGGGGCAGGGAACGGGGGATGCGGAGTCTGGGCCGGCGGGGGCGGCAGAGCCATGGGGCAGGGACGGGGGGATGTGGGGTGGGCTGGGGGCGGCAGAGCCCAGGCCCGGGGGGCGGGGTCCTCGCCTTGAGATCGCAGGTGGTGTTGATAAGCAGGTTGCTGGGCTTGAGGTCGCGGTGCAGCACGTTGGCCGAGTGGATGTACTTGAGGCCGCGGAGAATCTGGTACAGGAAGTAGCAGATGTGGTCGTTGCTCAGCTGCTGTGTCTTCAGCAGCTTGTACAGGTCGGTCTCCATCAGGTCCTGCACGATGTACCTGGGGGGGCGGCGCCCCGAGGGGGGGGCATGGGGGTCAAGGAGCATAACACAATTGGTAGGGAGACATGGCGCCTTTTTGGGGAGGGGGGGCTGGGCACATGGGGACCCCTCGCCCGGCGCTGGGACGTGACTCCCCTGGAGTGTGGGGACAGGACAGACGGGGCACCATGGCCAGGGCGGGGCCCACGGGGTGGGGGGCCCGTGGGGGGGCGCCCGGTCTGGGGGGCTCCCGGCGGATACACGTCGCGCATGTGCTCCAGCGCGGCGGCGCGCAGGGGGGTGGGATGGTGGGGCGCAGGGGTACGGGGTGGGGGGCCCGTGGGGGGGCCCGTGGGGGGCTCCCGGCGGATACACGTCCCGCATGTGCTCCAGCGCGGCGGCGCGCAGGATGTCGTTGATGCCGATGATGTTCTCGTGGCGGAAGCGCAGCAGGATTTTGATCTCGCGCAGCGTGCGCTGGCAGTAGGTCTGGTGCTCGAACGGGCTGATCTTCTTGATGGCCGCCCGGATCTTGCTCACGTGGTCGTAGGCCGAGCTGGGCAGAGAGGGGAGCCATGGGGCGCGGAGGGGGCGGGGGGCCCGGCAGAGCCCCCTCGGCGCCATGGAAACCAGAACCCAGGAGTCCGGCTCCCCGCCCCGCCCCCCGCCCAGCACGGCCCCGCCCAGAGCAGGGACAGAATCGGATCCCGGTACGGCGGCCAGCAGCGCTCCGAGCAGGAGGCTCGGGGAAGGGCGGGCCGGGTACGGTGGCCGGGAGGAGCGGGGGGGGATCGGGCCGGGTACGGTGGCCGGGAGGAGCGGGGGGGGTCGGGCCGCGGAGGGGGGCGGGGGCCGCCCG